TTGACCGTGGTAGGACCCTTGCTGTCTATGCAGGGTCAGAGAGCTCTCAGAATTCATAAAAAATATCTTAATTTATGTTCCGAAGATGAATGGAGGTCTTGCGGGTTTAGTACGACATGAGGTGAGTAATTAATGACAGAATTTTCATTTTTGGGTGAACTATCCCTTTAAAACGTAAGAGCTTGATTAGCTGGTTCAGGTGTGTTTAATTGGGGTTGGAGCTAAACTCTTCAGGACACCGGCCCTCCAGGACCGAGTTTGGACACCCCTGCTTTAAAAGAACCTTTACTAGGAAATCATCACATGGAAGTTTCCCATGAGGCCCTGAAGCACACTTCCCATAGTCCTTCGCTCTTACTGGAAATTTTCCATGAGGCTTTGCTTGACCTCTGTTTGTTCCGCAGCACTTCCAGGAGAAGGTGGAAGCTCTGGAGCAGGAGGCGGCCAGCGAGCGACAGCAGCTGGTGGAGACGCACATGGCGCGTGTGGAGGCACTGCTGAATGACCGCCGGCGCCTCGCTCTGGAGAGCTACCTGTCTGCCCTGCAGGCCGAGCCGCCCCGGGTATATGCCGTGTCCTTCAACACACGAACATACACACAGTCCCACCACCCTCCACTCGATATTATAACTACAGTCTAGATACTGAAAAACATGAGAATCTCACAAGAAACATGAACATACACTAGCATTCCAAAGTTTGGAGTCAGTAGGATTATTAAATATTTAAAATTAATTCAAAAATAATATATTTCTCTACACAAAACACAATGCCGCACAGGAAGTCAAAGGAATCTGTGAATCATTTTTTAAAATGGTGTCGAATAATATTTTTATAATAGTTTAGTTTTTTAGCTTACATTGTAATTTAAAGTGAACAATATTGCCCAGTTTGTACTCACATTAACTGCTTGACAAACAGTTATTTAGGATTTGATGCATGTGATGTTACCGTGAGTCTTTTTTCGTTGTGATTAATATGGAATAAGTAATTATTGAAAGCTAATAACTTAAAATGTTGTCTCTCTTTAGCCGCGGCACGTGTTCAGCCTGCTGAAGAAGTACGTTCGCGCCGAGCAGAAGGACCGACAGCACACACTCAAACACTTTGAACACGTGCGCATGGTCGATCCTAAGAAAGCTGCTCAGATCCGGCCTCAGGTACCAGTCAGCAGAGAGAAAAACACTAATAATAACCAGCAGAATATCATCATTGTTCACAGTCAGTGTTTTTGTGCTTTGCACAAGTACAGTATGCTACCTATAAATAATGAATCACTTTGTTCCAGTAACATTGTTTAACTTTTGCACTTGACGAGGCCAGGAATTTTATTATATTATGGTTTTGTTCAGTAAGATTGGAATTATGGAGAGAGACTAATAGTAAACTGATTAACAAAGTTAAGTTGGTGTTTGAGACACTCATTGGGATACTGTTATACTTTTTATTCATTTTAATTTGTTTTTTCATTTATTTAGTTTAATTTCATTTTAATTCGTTTTTAATTTATATTTGCATTTTAATTTTTTGTCAGTTTTTTTACATCAAGTACATCAAGTTAAGCTAAACAAAAATGAGAAGTATTGCCTTGGCAGTTTTTTTCATATTTTATTTTATTCCAGCTAAAATGTATTTTATTTCAGATAACAAAAATAGTTTTTTTATGGTTTAGTTTTAGTTGACTATAGTAACCCTGGTCTGGCGTTGTTTAGTTTTGTTTATTTAATTTTAACTGTTTCACCACACTATTACAAACTGTTGTATTATAAACTATTCAACTATTCATCACTCTCTATTGCAATGGATTGTGATTTGACATTGACTGATGTAGAGCATTTGAAATCAGTCACATGTTCCTTTTCATGAGGATGTTGCCTAAGTAGGCAGCTCCCTATGTTGACAGCAAGCTAGTTTACTAGGATTTACATGAAAGCCAATGAAGATGAGCAAAGTGTGAGTTAGCTGGATCTTTGGAATTGATGCAGATTAAAGGCTCACTGACCCTTCTGACCTTTGACCTCAGGTGCTGACCCATTTGCGTGTGATTGAGGAGCGGATGAATCAGTCTCTCGGGCTGCTGTTCAAGGTCCCGGGAGTCGCTGAAGATATTCAGGACCAAGTCGGTGAGTTTGAGGCAATAAATAAAGAAACGTGACCGTTGATGTGCACTGAACCAGGATTATTAACTAAAACTAAAATAAAACCATGAAAAAAAACATTTAGTTACTTTTAATAAAATTACAGAGCCTCACAAATTACATGGGAAATATATATATATATATATATATATATATATATATATATATATTGTGGCCACGAATTAAGAACTCATACCCACAATTTACTAATTTGTTTGCTCATTTTGATTTAACTTAAACCGGGGAACAAATTAGTAAATCATTTTAAATAAAGATTTAAGTAAATGTTTTCTCTCTCATGTCATGTCTGAAACAAAATAAAATATAAAAACCATTAAACTTATTTTATTTCAGCTATAATAAACATATTTGTTGAAGTAAATAAACATTAACTGAAATCAAATAAAATAGACATATTTACAGAAAACAAAAATTAATAAAAATGACAAAAACACAACAAAATTACTTACAACTGAATAATTTTTTATCAAACAATTATTTTTATTTATTCTGTATTTTAATTCAGCTATTTTTCAAGGCAACATTTCTCATTTTCATTTAGTTTAACTTGAAAGTCCAGAAGAACTCAAACTAAAACTGAAATAAAAAATTATAGACATATTTAAAAAATAATAATAATATTAAAATGACCAAATGAATCTACTAAAACTTTTAAAATGAATTAAAATGAGAAAAGAAAATATAAAAATAAAAACTCATTCAAAATATTAAGAAAAACTATAATAGTATCTCAGTGATAGTAACATAACACTGCACTGAAGGTATTGTATGAACACTGTATGGGTACACAACTTCTTTTTATTTTCTTTCTCCTAAACACTGTATGATGTTGTTCTTTAGGAAAGAGATGCATCAGTCTAAATTATGACAAACTGTTTATTTAACTTTTTCTCAAATTAATCCACATGAACTAACTAACCATGTAGTGATGGAGTGATGTCGGTCAGATGTTGTATGCAGGCTGATCTCTGGCTCTCCTCTTCACCTCCTCCTGGTTTATTTGTGTCCGTGCGTCACTGCACCATCTGTACTCTCTGTCTCTCTGGCTTCATTCTTGTGTTCGGTAGCAGCTCGTCTTTCATTAAGCGTGTGTGTAATTAAAGCTCTGATCAGCAGGTCATTTCCTCTGTAATCTTGTCGTATCATCAGCCTGCCATTTCTGCTCTTTCATTTGCTCACCGCAGAGTTTTTTCCATTTTCTGCCCAAGATCACATGATTCCTGAGCATCTTTTTTAACTCTGCCATCCTCCCATGCAGCATCAAAATGAATCAAAATCAATTAATTTCTATCGGATTTAAACATTACCAAAATGTTTATGTTTAAAAAAACTCTAAAAATATATATGTGGTAGTAGTGTGTGTGTGTGTGTGTGTGTGTATTAGGGCTGTCGATTGATTAATTTTTTTTAATCTAATTAATTACATGATGTGGTGATTAATTAATCTAATCAATCACAAATTAAATTTGTATGTGAAAAAAAGAAAAAAAAACTGCCAGTAGGTGGCGGTAAATGTCTTTATGAGTAAGTCATTGAGTCATTCATTCATTCATTGGATTTGTTCAAAAGCATGATTCATTCAGAAACTAAACAAGGCTGTGTTGCTCGGAGACACACAACAGTTCTGCTGTGGCTTTATAGGTAATATTTTTGTTGGCAAAAACAGACAATATTGTGTTTAAAATATAACACAACATTAACTTATTTACTGAACTGTCGTATAAATCACATATGCACTCGTGCTATTCAGGACAAAAACAGCGCTCGTGTGATATTGAATTCTCTTGAATTATAGGGACATATAACTGCATTTATTGACTGCATCATGCAGTGAGTTGTTGCCCTGCTTCAAGTCAACTCAACAGTCAAATGTTTGCAACTGTGACGTACAGCAGAGGCGGACAAAGTACTCAACTCCATTACTTGAGTGAAAGTACAGATACTGCTGGTCAAATATTACTCCATTAGAAGTAAAAGTTGTAAAGACTGATTTTTACTTAAGTAAAAGTACAGAAGTACTTGCTTTTAAAAGTTTTTATTGTCATACTTGCAATACTTCTGAAGCAACTTAGAATACATTACACCTGCTTAATACACTGACTACTGACTAGTATCTTTGGAATAAAGAGCTTTTAGAATGTTAAAAACAAAACATAAATAAATAAATATTTAACACCCCTACCCACCCCCACAAAAGCAGGATGGTAGTGATCTCACACAGCTCTGGACACATCTATGTGTAGCCATTCATCCACATTTGAACAGAGTGGACAGTGAAATTGCTGTAAATACAGAGTGATAAGGAAGAAAATCAAAAATCAACAAAATCAAAAAACCCAGCAGCACAACTGTAGCTGTATAACTTTACAACAGAAACACTGCTTTAAGAACATTAAGAACACTATTTGACATCAAAACAAAAATTTTAAATTAAAAGAAAATAAGAAAGAAAGAAAAAAAAAAAATTCTAATCGCTCTCATGGTACTTTGATGTCATACACAGAATGGTCTGTGCAGTGCTGCTTCAAGTCCAACACCTTTTGTGTTTTATTAGGAGATGCACAACAGTTTTTCTGTGGCTTTATAGGTAATATTTTCAC